TTGCATTTTAAATAAAAAGCACTTCTTTATTTTTACATGTGTGTATGGTGGTCTCTCAGTGGCGATTTAGGTCCTAACAGTTTTACTTTCAGTTTTTGAGGAACCTCCATACCATTCTCTATGGTGGCTGCACTAATTGACATACCCATCAACAGTGTACACGGGTTCCACTTTCTCCACCTTCTTGCCAGTATACATACATAAATACTTCTATCATACTATAAAACATTTTGCTAAAGTCTTGACTTCATAGCAGATACATCAACCAGATATAAGATCCTCAAGTGTGGAGTCCAGACTGCTTTATAAGTAGGTATCCATCTTTCACTGATTGAAATAACTGAGATCCTGTCTAACTCTTGTCATGTCTTCCTTCTCTCATATTTCAGTTCATCTCCATATTAGGCCTTTCCCTGTTCTCTTCTCTGCCTCTCTCCTCATCTGAGACCAGTTTTATCCCTGTTCAGCTAATCCCAGCTAATCTCCTTCCATTTTTATCTGAATTCCCTCAATCTGCCTGATCTGATTCTTCCTACCCCCTCACCAATTCCTGAATGTGATCATTTAGATAAAGATAAATACCCCAATTACAGCAGAGGGTATTAAACCAAATGAATTAAGGTGACTGATGAAATTCTAAACTACTCAATACCGGAGTCATTTCCATAGTATCAGCAAAAATGATGATACCAAGAAGAATGAGGTAATTCGAATCAAGAGAATGTCTCACCTATCAACTAATCAATCTTTTCACATTTATAAATCACCTCACCTTTGATCACAATTCTAGCTTGTTTCATGTTCTTTTTAAAGAGAAGTAGTGTGTCTGTTGAGCCTAGTAGCATCTTTGCTGCTGCTTTCTTGTATCTGATTACATGTGACGGCAATATGATTGGCAGGGAATAGGAATACTAGCTATATTCCACAGTAATCAGTAGTTAAACTGTTGGGTACTGGTTGTAAATTTCCCTGTTAAGAGCCAGTCAAGGGCCCAAATCTACAATCTGAGTCTTATTAGCACTTCTCCAACTTCTGAGCAAAGCAAGCCTAAGTATATTATCATCAATCTAAGACTATTCTTAAAATAAATATACAATCTGCTACTAAGAAATAGAAATATACAAAAACTGCTATACTTTGGTGATCTGTCTTCACAGCGATTATTTCCTCTGAAGCAAAAATTATTTCAATTATATAAATGACAAATCGAATTGTTTCCCCAAAATGGAGACAATACTAGAGAAAGGACCCTTGAGCTTCTCCATAATGTAGCTGTGAAACCTCGAGCAAGTCGGTTGCCTGCCACTTCATCTGTAGTAAATAAATCCATTTTAATTTGCCAAAGAGTGATAAGTAAAATCCTGATACAATTTTTCATTCATTACTTCAACTAAAGCAATCAACACAAATGAGCTTTTTAACCAAAACAGCTAAATGTAGTACCTCATGAGTATCTAACAAATGGATAATAATGTCCAAAATATGCACACACACACACACACACAAAAGTGTTACTTTGAACTAAGGGACAATTGGACACTCTGGAGTAAAAATGAAACTGCTTTCCTTCTTAGACAGATTACATTAAAAACTTTTTAACAATGCTGGATATTGTTAAATTGCACACTCAATTAAACCTCATTACTCTATGAATAAAAGTGATGCCATATATGGTCTGAACAAGTTGGCTGACTCCTGCAGGACTGTACACAGTGCACACCTCCCAAACACTGAGGGCTCAGTCCTGACCCGTGTGGACTTGCATACAGTAGGTCTTACTGAATTACTCAAGGGCCAAGTATCTCACTTCACAATGACATAATGAGATGTAGCTGGTGATCACACTCTCTCACCCTGTCTTCCATCCCATTCCAATCTGTAGAGCTGTCTTACTTTCTGCTACTTTGTTGCTGGGTCCTTTTCCCTCTGCAGTCATCACTGTGCTCACCATCCACCACTATCACCTATCTCCCTTGCCACTCTCCATCTAGCCACATCCAACTGCTATACTGATGTAACACTATCCAACACATTTATTCTCTATTTCTTCAGCATTTTTGGCCCTTCTGTTTCTTGCTTTTCTCAACTACCAAACAAAAGAGATCTATTACACAGGTGCAGTCAACAATCACTGCACTCCTTGCCTTTCACTTAAAAAAGAAAAAGAAAATCAAAGCAGGTCAGAATAAACTTTGGCTCTTCTGAACTGTTTTCAGCACAATTTGATACCAAAAGTTCATTTATTGTGACAAAAGATGCTTTATGGTTACTTTTATTCTAAGTTTGGATCTACTGCCGATACTCAGGCTATAGACAGTTGAGGGTCTGTACAATTATGGTATTAAAGATTTAAAAATGCAACAAAAGACATGACATGGTGACTGCCTTAACCCTTAAAAAAACTACCAAATCAATCTCAAAAAAAATTATTAAAATTAGATCTTAAAATAAGTGAACAGAATACTAAAGACATACCAATGTCCATATACCACATGAAAAAATAATTAACATCACCAAGCATTAGGAAAACATCAATCAAAATCACAAGAACCTACTTTAAACCTATTAGAATGGCTACTATTTTTTTAAAAAGTGTTTGGTAAGGATGTGGAGAAACTGGGCCCCCTATGCAATGCTGGTGGGAATGTAAAATGAGGTAGCTACTATGGAAAAGAGTATGGCAGTGTCTCAAAAAACTAAATATAGAATTACCATATGATCATGCAATTTCTCTTCCGGGTAGCTACCCAAAAGAAATGAAAGCTAGGACTTAAACAGCACATTCATGTCCACAGTGGCATATCCACAATAGCCAATATGAGTAAGTGGATAAACAAAATGCAACATATGCCTATAACAGATTATATTTAGCCTTGAAAAGAAAGAACAAAGACATTTGACACATGATTTAATCTTAAAGGCATTACACTAAGTGCAATAATAAGCCAGTCACAAAAGGACAAATATTGCATGAATACATTTATATGAGATACCTTAGAGTAGTAGTCAAATTCATAGAGACAGAAAGTAGAATTGGTAATTGCCAGGGGCTCAGAGTAGTGGAGTTAGTATTTAATAGTACAAGGTTTCAGTTAGGGGAGGATGAAAAATTCTGGAGATGAATAGTAGTGATGGTTGCACAACAATGTGAATGAGCTTAATGGCACTACATTGTACACTTAACAACGGTTTGTGTAGTAAGCTTTATGTTATGTATATTTTATTACCAAAAAAAAGCGAGTAAAAAGTAAAGTTGACAGGCAGAGAAGTACTTGCTACTTAGTTATTGATGACTACTGTGCAAACCCAATCTGACTCCAAAAGCAAAGGCAGCACAAATTAGATACGACCGTGTAAATAGTGATTAATTTTGTTACAGCTGAACAAAGAGCATGGAAGCATCTCTACCTATCTGTAGATACCAGATTCTCCTCATACAGGTCTGTCTGGGAAAGCTGAGGAAAAATAGCCTGTCAAAAAATAAATTCTCTTATGCACATACCAAATCACTGAAAAAATATGCACGCTCAAGATTTTAAAACCTGAATACCTCCATGCCTACATCCTTGCTATTCCAAGATACACCAAACATGCTCCTGCCTCACTTCACTGCAGAGCTCACTCCATCACTTCATTCAGTTCTCCACTCACACAACCCCTTGCCAAAGAGGCTGAGTTTGACCACTCTATCTAAAATGGCATGCTCTGTTATTCCCTCTCCCTGAAGTCACTTTACTTTTCTTCACAGTTCTTATCACTACTTCTTGTATATTTACTTGTTAATTATCCTTTTCCTAAAATGAAAACTCCAGGAGCAAAGACTTTCTGTTTTGTTCACTACTATCTTCCCAGCACCTGGAACACAACCTGGCTCACTGAAGGCAGCTCCTTAAATATTTGCTAAATGAATGAACAGACGGATGCTCATGCCTTTAGAGGTCGTATTTCCCTCTTGGCCTTGGTACTATGTGTATTATGCCGTCTGCAACAGCCACAGCCTCATAGCCATCCAGAGCATCCCTAACCCTTCCATGTAGGCTTCACTGGTCAAATAGAACATCAAGTTTAAAAATCTGAAAGAAGCCTCATACTATCACTGAGACCTTAACTAACAAGTCAAAAAATGCTCTCTGACTCAGTTTCTAAAAACACTAAAAGAATATAGTCTATTCCTCACAGTGTGGGATAACCGATATGCCTGACAGTGCTTTAAGGCCAAAAAAAAAAAAATGTTGTGTACTGCATGTCAAACAGCACATTGCACCTATTTTGATAGGAACTTGCAGACAAAAACCACAGAATTTTCCGTTTACAATTTTTTTCAGATTTTGCGAGAAATGGACAAATGCAAAGACATTAAACGTCATTAAATGGTTTAGCAGAAACTAAGTAACCAGTTATTTGGCCCAACAGATAATACACACCCTGGCGCAGTAGAAAAACACGTTGAATACCTGGATGAATGAAAGAAAAGACTGCTACTTAACTCCATTTTCAAAGTCAAAAGTATTCAACTCAGAATTCATATTACATCCCAGAAAAACGTCCCACAAAGGGAAGCTCATGTATTTTACAAGTTTTCAGAGCATTTTATAACTGCACTTTAATCTTCAGTGTATGCCTTCTGGTAAAGCGCTGGCAGTTGATAACACTTTTTGTAGAAGATAATCTTTAACCAGTAAACCTCAATATGTGCGGTCCCAACAAAGCGGAGGAGGGCCCATTACTCTAGGTCTCTAGGAAACAACCAGACCCCTGTACACCCAGACATAAGAAGAGTCACGCAGGGAACACACGTGTCGCTCCCGCCTCAGGAGTGAAAAAGGTAACCTACCCATCAGCAGGGTCCCGACGCGCATCGGAGGTGTCCGCTGGGAGCGGTTCTGACAGGCAAAGACACCCCCCGCCCCCCGCCAGAGACCGACCCAGGCCAGCCCCCTCCTCGGATTTCGACCCAGGCCTGCCCCCGGAACTCAGCTCCCCGCAAACGCAGGTCTTACCTGAGCTCTGCCCCCAGCCGCAGGGCTGAGGGGGTAGGCGGGAGGAGGCGTGGCCTTCCAGCTCGCCAGCCGAACTCCCTCGTGCGGTTGTTATGACTTTCCCTCTCGGGATCCGCGCCCCGACCAAGTTCGAGTTGCACTTCCGGGGTCTGCAGCCGACTGAAACGTCACTACGCATGCGACGGCGCAGCGGCGACAACCCGGAAATGGGCGGGGCCTGTCCCTGCCGCGCTGGGTGGGCTGGGAGCGCACCCGCGCGCTGAGGGCGGTGGTGGTCTCCGCGGGCGGGCGCCGCTCGCCCTTCCTCCTCCAGGCTGCTTAGGGAGCCTAAGAGGATGAGACTACCCTGAGGCGTCGTTCTCCGAGCGAATATTTTAAAAACCATTCTAGGGATGTCACCGTCAGTTCCTCACCCCCCATGGTTTATCCGACCCATTCAACTCCAGTAAATCAGGGGTATCTAGATTTGGAAGATTAAATTTATCTCTTAATTATGACATGTAAGATAGGAAATTAATACTGCATCCTCATGACAGGTGAACGTTTTCTTGTTAACTATGCTTGACTCCAATGGGAATCTTGTGAGTTTAATGTTCTGTTTTTCCAGAAATGAATTTGAAAGGTCTTAAGGGTGGATCCAGGATGAGCAGTGGAGGCAACTAATTTTTAATTTTTACATGTGCTCACAATGCATTTATTCCACAACCGTTAATTTAATGAATAAGGCTGACCTGGGTGCTGGGGACACAGGTTCCTGAGTTAGAACACCTCTCCCGTCGGGTAGCTTAGGGGAAGAAAGTGTTGGTAGTTGGCAAGCAACTACCAACAGTTTATATTCTTCAGGGAAGAGATCCCAGACTAAAGTATACTTCACTACCATATGACTTGTATTTCTTAATTTCAGCTCCTTACTTGTTTCCTTCACAAACAATTGTGTTATCAATTTATTTGCAAGTGTACCTTGCCCACTAAAATGTAAACTCCATGAGGCCAGTGACTTTGTCTTGTGTTTTTCACATTTTTCAGCCATACAGCAGTGCCTTTTCACAAAGTGGACAATAAATACTTGTTGAATAAATGAACACAGTGGTAAATACTAAATTAGAGAAACTTAGAAAAATGTATGGGACAAGAGGTGAGTGGTGGGAGAATCCCCTGGAGTTATGCAGAAATGAATGCCTGGATGGAGCCAGGGCATGGCAAGACTTTTAGGGCTTTACTTCTGGCTAGAACTCATATGATTTTTAGGGTGGGACTTTAACCTGAAGAGAAAAACAGCAGTCCTATTTTGAAAAGCTTTGTATGCCATGCTGCTTAATTCACATGTTGTGCTGCAGTTAAGACCACTGAAAGACTGTTAAACAGAAGAGTGAAAGGAAACATTTTTATTTTTGTAGAATCTGGCGATAGTGATAAAGTTTATTAGAAAGATAAGCCTCCCCAAAATTGATAATACCATTTTATCCATGAGAAAAAACATCAGACAAAATATCTGATTGGCACTCCTTGAAACAACCAAGGTCATAAAAAACAAGAGAAGTCTGAGAAACTGTCAGCCGAGATAAGCCTAAAAAGACTAACTTTAATGTGGGATCCTGGAACAGAAAAAGAACATAAGTGGGAAATCTGAATAAAAAGTACAAAGTTTTAGTTAATAGAATGTACCAATGTTGATACAAAACATGGAAATTGGTCAAAAGAGTGACATTATCTTTCAGTGTTTACAGGATAGAGCCCCACTCAAGAATTAGGGGGATATACTTTGTTCAGTAGTAAATAGTTTACTTTTAAACAAACATATGAGTCTTTTCAGACAATTCCAGCAAGACCCACATAGGAATGAATGAACCTTAGAATTATTACAATCCCCAAGTCTTTTACCTGGGGTCCCAAATTTTATAAAGCAAAGACAAGCCATCCCCACTGTGTCCTGTTCTGAATTCTTGACCCACAGAAGAAATGTGAGATAATGAAAATGATTGTTGTTCCTTTAAGTCAGTAAATTTTGGAATGATGTGTTATCCAGCAAAATAAGCTAATACACTGTATAACAACAACCAATGGGTAATTATCCTTTCAAGTCCAGTCCTGCCTAAAATGTCAGAATCAAGAATGAGGAGATTATGTGATGAGACCAGATGACCCCCTTTTTCCCCCTCACTGTCCCTAAATGGTAAACTTAGCTGGCCACAAAAAAATGTCTTCTATAAAGAAAGGAGGAAAAACAGTGACAATTGTATGTGGGTTTAGGTGTTTGTTTTAATTTCAGCAGCCCTTTTGTGGTTTAAGAGAAACCATTCCAATGATGATTACATATATAGTGCAAATGTTCTCCCTCATTTCAACCACAGTCATCCAAGCTGCACAAGCTAGTTTGTTCACTTATGCTTTTAATTTATATATCTCCTGGGAAGCTAGAAGCTCCAGTTTCTCTTCCCACCTCTCTTCTCTTGCATCTTAAAATCTTACCGAGATTTAAAAAAAAAAAGGAAGAGAATTTGTTACCTCCTAGATAACAACTGATCCATGTTTGATCACTAAGATGATTTTAAAAATGTCCCTATACTTTATTTACCATATTTGGCATTTCCCCTTCCTATTCCATATCACCTTTTTGGGGATCTTTTTATCAGTCTACCCCTAATCTTCACATCAAATGATCTCAGCACACTAGATACACACCCACAAACGTATGATCAAGACTGTATGTTTATTAAAGTTAAAAATAAAATTTAAACCCACTCACCATGACTAGAACTTGGCTCCAACATTTTGGCAGCTCAGACAAATTTATTATGAAAAACATTTTTGGTTAGATGCTAAAAGCAAAGCTCTGTCCACACTAACCAACTCTATAGGGATGAGGCCTGGATTTTGAATTAAATTTAGAGAATCAGGTAACATTCTTGTCCTTTCCCAAACTCAAGCAAGAATGTGCTGTGGTTTGTTTTTTTTTTTTTTTAGAGACAGAGTCTCACTTTATCATCCTTGGTAGAGTGCCGTAGAGTGATGTAACGTCACAGCTCATGGCAACCTCCAACTCCTGGGCTTAGGTGATTCTCTTGCCTAACCCTCCCGAGTAGCTGGGACTACAGGCACCTGCCACAACACCCGCCTTTTTTTTGTTGCAGTTTGGCTGGGGACGGGTTCGAACCTGCCACCCTCGGTATGTGGGGCTGGCACCCTACCCATTGAACTACAGGCGCCGCCCAGGATGGTGCTGTGGTTTGAATGTGTACCCCTAAAGCTTTCGAGTGGGAAACTTTATTGTCATTATTACAGTGTTAAGATGTGGGGCCATAAAGAGGTAATTAGGCCCTGAGGGCTCTACTCTCCTAAAGATGTTAATGCTGTTATTGTGCGAGTATTTTAGTTATCACAGAAATTTGCTCCTGAAAAGCTAAGTTTGACCTTCCCTTATTTTCTCTCTGTCCTGTGGACTCTTGCCACCCTTTCTCACCCTGTCTCCCCATGTGATGCCTTCCACCAGGGGATGATCCTCACCAGATACTGCACCTAGATCTTGGGCTTCCCAGCCTCCAGGGGGGAATAAATAAATCTCTTTGCTATTTAGATTAATGGTCTGTAGTATTCTCTTATAGCAGCAGAAGATAGACTAGGACAATATGTAGAAGTATAGCACAATAAGCCCAATAAAGTAAGAACAAAGAATCAAACTATTTCTAATGGTTTCGCCAACAGAATGATTCTTCCTTGAAACAACTCTCTATCATTCTACTATTCATTTATGTACCTGGATTTTTTTTTAATGAGAAAAGATAAAATATCAGTGTTCAAAACATACTTTGAGAGTTTTAATTTAGAATGCAAAATAGCTTTTAATTTGTTGTAGGGACAATTCAATTTGTAGATTTAAATATTTACCCAGAGTTAGACAAAGTGCATGATTTAACAGCATAGTTACCAAAGCTCCTCTCCTTTCAGACAACAATTGCAAGTATGAGGAGGGCATTCCCCAAACACTCCCAGGTCTGACTATTTAATAGACATTCTCAAAGAAGACACTGAAAGCTTTTATGCTCACAGTTCAGTTTATTACAAGGAAAGGGTATACATTAACATTTATCAAAGGGGTGAAGAACACAGGTCAGAGTCAGGAGGGCACCAACATGGTGCTTTTGTTACCATCTCCCAGTGGAGTCAGGATCACATTACCCATCTAACATCTCTGCATCACACTAGGGGAGTTCACCAGAGCCTTAACATCAGAATTACAGAGATAAAATTGATTTATTAATTGCCTCAGTCTCTTCAGGTCAAAGGATACACAGGACCCCGAAGCCTTCATTGTAAGTCTCATGATTGGTCTTTCTGTAATGGGAGCCTCTATCCCAAGACAAGTGGACATGGCCAGTCTATTCTAAACAAAGATGTTTCTATCAGACATGGCATGGATTATCTCCCAGAATCTGAGACCAGAGGCCCCAGAACTCTATTCGGGAAAGGGCAAATTACGTACTACAAAATATTTGGCAAGCTCTCCTGTATGATTTTTATTTGAGTGGGAGGTTGTAGGCAAAAGAAAAGGGAAATGATAATTAAGTCAATGGGAGCCTAATTAAATCATCAGAAAAAGATGGTTTGTTTGAATCAGTGCAGATATACCAGTCTCCTTCCATTTCACCCCATAGAGCCTTTCCATTTTCTATTCAGGGAACTCCTTTAAATTTTCTTACCATTACTTCATAGAAAGGGAAGAGAAAATGGTATGAACTTTCATGGTATCTCCAGGAAGACAAAACAACAAAAAGGAATTGTAGCAATCCTCATGCCTCAGCCTCTGAAATACTTGAATTACAGGCAGAATAACCTCTATGACCCTGCTCTTTGTTCTATCCACTGAATAGTAATAGGATAGATTTTAAATAGCTGTGCATCCCTCACAGAGGTGTGGTCCTAAATTCATCCTTTATGACAAAAATCCTAATAGTAAAATTAACCATGAAAATCCCCCAAATGGTCTACCAAGTACAGAATTATACATGTCTCTAGATCTTTTATTCTTATACATGTTCCAATGTTAGATTTCTGATCCTGTTTAAATGTTAGAACTAAAGAAAATTTTGTGTGCAGATATCTTGGAATTTAAATAATCCTGATAGTTTCATGTGCCACTCATGTTCTTCATCACACTTACCAT